AGCGCAGGGCAGATGTTGTTAAATTATATGTTGAGTTATATAATTGGTAGGCTTGGTAGGTTACTGAACTTTACTGTAGAGGGTACAACCCCCCCTTCTTGTATGTCTCTCTCTTCTAATTGTCTCACTTTTTTCTCTTGTCAAACTTACTCTCCTAGCCTAAGCCCTCACGCCATTCCATGGCTCCTACTCCTACCTAGCTTCCTAGCTTTCTTAACAGATGTACCCTGCAGATGCCGTCGTAGGGAATCTCCCGGCGCTAACTCGTGTGAAGGCATTTGCCATGAAAGGCTACAGCGCATCATCGGTTGTGCCGTCGTCCGCGTTCAGAGTAGCGTAGACGTCAGTTACGAGCACTGCGTCGGCCACGGTTATCCAGCGAGTTGACATAGAATTCCTTGTCGGACGACGTATAAGAAGTAATGAGTAATATCACAAGACTAGCTTAGCTAGGAAGCCATAAAATGGCATGAGGTTTAGCTAGGAGCTAGGAGGAGCCATGGAAATGGCATGAGGTTTTAGGTGTCAACTTATACATATTATCTATGTAGAAGTTATAGGCTAGACTGAGGTATGCTTCTAGTGAGTACAACCAACTAGTATTTGTTCTAGGTTTCCACCTCTAGTAATCATTCGTTTCTACGTTAACATGGTATCACGCTTAGGTTAGGATCCCCCCGCCTACCGCTTCCGCCCGTCGCGCCTCCTAGGCCCCGTCGCGCCCCCTAGGCCCCGTCGCGCCCCCCCTGGGCCCCGTCGCGCTCGTTAGGCCCCGTCGCGCCTTGACGCGCTTGTCGCTGCTGTCGCTGACTTCGCTTCTACCCGCCGCCTTGACTACGCTACCGCTCTGGTCTCTGACCCTGCCCGTCCTCTGTCCGTCGGGGGTGCTCCTGCCCTTGGCAGTGACGTCCTAGAGGACAGGCAGTACGAGCTGGCTTTCCTTTCCGAGGCTGCTCCCCATCTCTGCTCCATGCTGTTAGTCCCTGAGGGTGACCCAGACGCCTTCGACATCCCGACCCCTCGCACCTACGCTGAGGCCACCTCGGGACCTTGGGCCTCTCAGTGGATAGCTGCCATGGAGCAGGAGATGGCATCTTGGAGATCCACCGGCACTTACGTCGACGCAGCCCCCCCGCCTGGGGTGAACGTAGTCGATGGTCGGTGGCTCTTCAAGGTGAAGCGCCCCCCTGGAGAGCCGCCTGTCTTCAAGGCGCGCTACGTGGCCAGAGGTTTCAGTCAGCGCGAGGGGGTTGACTTCTTCCAGACCTTCGCCCCGACCCCGAAGATGACCACTCTTCGGGCGCTGCTACACGTAGCAGCACAGCGTGACTACGAGCTTCACTCCCTCGACTTCTCTACTGCCTTTCTTCAGGGCAGCCTACACGAGCAGGTCTACCTGCGCCGACCACAGGGCTTCACTGGTACCTTCCCTCCTGGGACCCAGTGGCTTCTCAGGCGCCCGGTCTACGGCCTGCGTCAGGCTCCCCGCGAGTGGCACGACACGCTACGTGCCACGTTAGCAGACCTGCAGTTCTTTCCGTCCTCTGCTGACCCTTCACTGTTTGTGCGTTCCGGCCAGACTCCGTTCTACATCCTTGTCTACGTAGACGACCTGGTCTTCGCTACTCCTGACAGGGTTGCACTGGCCTCTGTGAAGGCTGAGCTGCTGAAGAGACACACCTGCACTGACCTTGGAGAGCTGCGTCGCTATCTTGGCCTGCAGATCTCTAGGGACAGAGCAGCACGCACCATCACTCTGACCCAGTCACACTTGGTGCGTCAGGTCCTTCAGAGGTTCGGTCTTCAGTTCTCCTCCGCACAGCCCACACCTCTACCCGTAGACCATGGGCTCTCTGCTCCCGTTCCTGAGGAGCCAGTAGAGCCCAGTGGCCCCTACGCAGAGCTGGTGGGTTGCCTCATGTACCTGATGACTTGCACTCGCCCAGATCTCGCATACCCTCTCAGCATCCTGGCTCGCTTTGTGGCTACAGGCAGACACCGACCTCAGCACTGGTCTGCCGCTAAGAGGGTTTTGCGTTATCTTGCTAGTACATCAGGCATGGGGTTAGTGCTAGGAGGACGCAGGCCAGTGGTCCTTACTGGGCACACAGACGCTTCTTGGGCAGACGACGCTGAGACGCTCAGGTCGTCGCAGGGCTACTGTTTCAGCCTTGGTTCGGGTGCTATCTCTTGGAGATCCACTCGCTCGTCGTCTGTGGCTCAGTCTAGCTGTGAGGCTGAGATCTACGCTGGTGCCATGGCGGCACAGGAGCTCCGCTGGCTGACCTTCTTGCTCACAGACTTAGGTGAGCGGCCTAGCTCTGCCCCGGTCCTGTACGCTGACAACAGGGCCATGATACTCCTGTGTCAGGAGCCTCGGCTTGAGGGCAGAGCGAAGCATATCCAGCTGCGGTACTTCCTCCTGCGCGAGCTACAGCAGCGCCGCCAGGCCCGCGTAGTTCACTTGGCCTCAGGTGCCAACACAGCTGATATCTTTACTAAGGCGCTTGCGCCTAAAGATCATCAGCGGCACTGTGTACAGCTTGGTCTTGTTCCTATAGCTGCTCCCCTGTTAGGATCCTGATTGTGTACTCTCTATTATATATGCTTGTCAGACTGGCCTTGTGGCCTTACCTCCAGTGGCTGGACTAGTAGTGCCACCCTGGCTTGCTTCAGTTTTGGTTGTATTCTTGCTGACTGGTCTCCAGACCCCTGCCTCAGTGGTTGGACTAGTAGTGCCGCCCTGAGCTGTTTGCTTCTTGTTTAGTTTCACCCCTTGTCTAGCCTAGGGGGTGTGTCAACTTATACATATTATCTATGTAGAAGTTATAGGCTAGACTGAGGTATGCTTCTAGTGAGTACAACCAACTAGTATTTGTTCTAGGTTTCCACCTCTAGTAATCATTCGTTTCTACGTTAACATTAGGTGCTAGGAAAGTTGAGGAGAGGGAAGAGAATAGAAGAGAGAGGGATACAAGGAGGGGTATTGTACCCTCTACAGTAAAGTTCAGTAAGCTTACCAAGCCTACAATTATATACTAACATATATGATTTAACAAGTAACGTATCGCTTCTCATGTTGGCTGCGACAACTGCCACTGATAACCGACGCCCACTCAAATTCGCTCGTGGAAGCCATTTGCTGATATTTTGGGGCAAGCCTAAAGCTTACCTAATGAGGCTGGTGATGTTGCTGGCTGATGCTAACACAATCCCGTGGTGTGCTCTTCCCCTCAAAGCTGTTGGGCTGATAAAAGCCCTTAGGATCTTTCCAGAGACTAAGTCCAAGTTGTAAAGAACTGTTGAGTAGTGCAGCGGAAGTTGGAGTAGTTGAACCCTTGCACTAGTATATGAGAGCAAGTGATTAATTAAGAGAACAAGCATACAGCAATATATAGAGAGTAGGAAAGTAAAGCAGTTGTAGAATACAGTTGAAAGAATGGTTTATCGAGTCGCACAGCGACTCGATTGTCGGTTCTGTTACCATCCTTGCAGTTGTAACGGTCAGTCGCAACCTCCGGTTGCGACCCTTTGAGTCCTTTCGTGTTCTTTGTCCATCCCCTCGTGCAACCTCCGTTGACTCGCGTACCCGTTACGACTTTCCTCGAGTGTAGTGTTACACTTCAGAAACGCTTAAGTCCTTGAGGTATTTCCAACAAAAGCAACCGCTCTTGGCTTTCGACGAGGCTCCAACATAGTCCCATTATTTCACCCCCTAACATTCACGAATTCATCCAGAGTGGCAAGACATGCATCTCATCAATCAACTATGCTGGCATGAACAACATCATATGGGCCCACTCCTACTCAGGATCCTCCAAGATCCTTGCCGACCATGGTCAGAATGAGTTGGTTTATGAATGTGCATTATCTCTTATGATTGTATCCTTTTGCATCTCTCATCATGAGGCTTCAGATCTCTCATCATGTTTGCACGTACTTATATATTACCATTGCAGGGGGTCTGCAAGCATCAACATGGCGTGCAAAGTCTAAGAATTGTGACATGACATTAAGGGGCATGTAACAACTTGAGAGATTGAGGCAAGGCTAGGTGATGTGTATGATCAATAGTAGCCGTGGATTTCATGACGCTGGAGCTATAAAGGGGCTCTTGTAACGCATTTTCTCAGTAGGTCCAGCAAGATCTGCAATTGTGCGATGGGCACCTGAAACCCTTTCAGGTTCAGGTTGATACCTTATCACTTGGTCTGTGGTGGCAGTCGCGACGCGACGCGACGCGACGACTCCTCCTCCACCACAGAGCGTGCCAGCATGTGGTCGGGACTCGGGGTGTTCAACAAATACCACACAAGCCACGGAGCGTGGTTGGGCACAGCAGCGTTGCTCGATCACGTGCTCAGCGAAGTCTTTCTTGGTCCAGATGCCAGCTACGCTGGGCTGGCTTGGCCCAGACAGTGTTCCACCGAGCCAGTGTCATTGGTTCAGAAGATCCTTCAGAAGCAGTTGCGGGGCAGTTTGTCCCCAAACGCAACCACAGCCTTCCACCACCCTCACTCCGGGCCAGACCACGTCGGTTCGGGAGTTGTTGAGCAGGCTAACTGCGAAATTCGAACTTAGACCACATTTATAAGACAAAGTTGGACGTCAAGCTTTTTCTGTTCTGATTCCAACGATTTCCGACGCAAAATTAGATATTCATTACCAGTTTCGCTTGGCAGAAAGGTACACAAAGGTTTCATATATTTCGAAGTAAAACACTTGTTTATCACCCTTGGTCCCCTCGAACGGTTCTGAAATTGAGGCACTTACTACAACAGAATAAGTGTTGAAATGTTCGCGTAGGTTTGAAATTTCTGTTTTTGGGGCAAATGGGGACATAGTCTTGGAGACGTTACTGTGTAAAGCCGCTTCGGTTGCCATGCCTGGTTGAAAACATTCGGTGAACAAAATGTCATCGTTTCACAAATCTGTGATAAAGCTGCCATTCTTCCGTTTGTTCTTGTATAAACTGCCCCCTCTTCCCCCATCAAATTCATCCTCTCTCCTCCCCAGCCATCCAGCTAGCAGCTCTCGCCAGAGAACCAAGTCGTAACCGAGAGCTGCTGCTCCTCCTGTCTTTACCGCATTGTACTGCGAGCCCTGTCTCCTAGAGGTATCTTTCAGCCCCACTCGCAGTCATCCCTCTCAGGCCGTCCGAAAGCAACCCGCCCGCCGCTTCCTCACACTCCACCGTCCGTTCCGCACGTCTCACGCCCGCCCGCCCCCCCCCCCCCTCCCCCGACGCTTTTACTCTACCTCTCCGAAAGTGGTCAAATCTCCACCGTCGAAATCATGGCTCGTTCATCAATCGCTCTTCTCGTGTGCATCCTCGCCGTTGCGGCGATGACGTCATTCCCCGGCGCGCTCGCGCGAAAGGATCTGGGCGTCGTAAAACCCGCCGCGACGACGCCGGCGCCGGCCAAGTGTATCAAGTCGACAATCAGGGGCTACAACCAGAGCGTCACTCTCACCAGCGGGTACGGATTCACAGAGTTCTCATGCCATGCGAGTCGTCTCCTCGCTCTCTTTCCTCGCTCTCGTTCCTCCCTCTCGTTCCTCCCTCTCTATCCTCGCTCTCTTTCCTCTCTCTCATTCCTAGTTCTCCTCTCTTGTTTTCCGCAGGCTGCTTCTGCACTGGAACGTGACGGGCGCCTCGTCGATCGACATGGCTATCGAAGCACAATCCACCAGCGCTGCGTCCAAGGGCGGCTGGCTCTCGATCGCCTTCGCGAAGTCAACCTTCAAGATGGCTAACTCCGACGCCATCATCGGGAACCTCGCGGGGACCGCCGCGAATCCCGCTACGGTCGCGCCGTACGCGATCACCAGCTACACTGCCGTGAAGCCGACGTCCGCTTTCGCGCTGACAAGCGCGTCGACGACGACGACCATCGGAAAGAGCGTCGTTGTGGCCTTTTCCCGATCGGGAGCGACCGGCATGAACCCGATCGTGTACGGGTTTGGCAAGGCGACGCCCGCGCTTAACTACATCACCTATGCGTACTCGGCCAATGGGGTCTCTAAGACCGTCGCTTACCATGGCAGCGGAAGGAGGTACGCTTTTGGAACACGCAATCGAAAGACGATTTGTCGCATCGTTTGTATTGGGGCTCAAAGCTGGGCTAAGGTGTAGCGAGTTTCGTTCAAAGTTGCGTGTTCTGACGTTTCCGTTCCCCAACCGTTTTTTTTCCTATGCAGAGGCAAGGCCGTTGTGAACCTCGCATGCAAGCCGTTGTAAAGGACTGCAAGCTCAGCCACCTGCTCCACTCCAGCCATCCCATGCCACTCGACCCAATCCGCACTAGAATTCTGCCATCTCATATCATACACAAGTCCAGCCATCTCACGCCATGCACTACAGTTCTGCCATCTCATGCCGTGCGTTCCAATTCTGCCGTCTCAAGCCATGCATTCAAGTCCTGCTACTCAAGTCATGCCCATGCGGTCTCATGCCATGCCTCAAGCGTTGAGGTCTCATTCCATCCACATGTTCCAATGCACTCTATCTGCGTCAAGCTCTGTTCGACCAGCAAAGACGACCGAGTCAAAGCCTTTCATGCCTGTTACCCTTGCCACAGTTACCGGCAATCAACAACGTGTGACAAGAGGGAGATGGGTAAACCATCTTTCTTGTACCTCGTGCTCGAAGTACATGCTGCGGTGCCATGTCTTGCATGCCTTGTGAATTGTTAGGTTGGTCTTTCCAGCGGGGTGTGCATGGAATCGGCTCAAATGGACAGTGCAATTAGCCTGCCTGGTATTTTGGACTCTTTGTTTGAGGTGGTTCTGTTGTGTTTGTTGGCACCAAAGAGTTGCGCTTGATTTGTTTTGTATGTATCCTAATGAACTTCTGACTCTAATTACGGTGTATGTGAGGGTGGGCTTGTTAGAAAGAGAGAATGAATGGACTAGTGTGAGAAATCTAGAACATGTACCTGTTGGGGTTGTACTCACTAGAAGCACACACCTAGGCTAGCCTATAACTTCTACATACAGCATATGTATAAGTTGACACACCCCCTAGGCTAGAGAAAGGGTGGTGCTAAGCAAGAAGCACACATCTCAGGGTGGCACTACTAGTCCAACCACTGAGGTAGGGGTCCCAAGACCAGTCAGCAAGAGTACAAGCAAGACTAAAGCAAGCCAGGGCGGCACTACTAGTCCAGCCACTGGAGGTAAGGCCACAAGACCAGTCAGACAGGTATATATAATAGAGAGTACACAATCAAGGTCGTAACAGGTGAGGAGCTACAGGAACAAGACAAAGCTGTACACAATTCCGCTGATGATATTTAGGCGCAAGCGCCTTAGTAAAGATATCAGCTGTGTTGGCACCTGAGGCCAAGTGAACTACGCGGGCCTAGAGACGCTGCTGTAGCAAGCGCAGGAGGAAGTACCGCAGCTGGATATGCTTCGCTCTGCCCTCAAGCCGAGGCTCCTAACACAGGAGAATCATGGCCCTGTTGCCACCGTACAGGACCGGGGCGAAGCTAGGCCGCTCACCTAAGTCTGTGAGCAAGAAGGTCAGCCAGCGGAGCTCCTGTGCCGCCATGGCACCGGCGTAGATCTCAGCCTCACAGCTGGACTGAGCAACAGACGACGAGCGAGTGGATCTCCAAGAGATAGCACCCGAACCAAGGCTAAAACAGTAGCCCTGCGACGACCTGAGTGTCTTAGAGTCGTCTGCCCAAGAAGCGTCTGTGTGCCCAGTAAGGACCACCGGCCTGCGTCCTCCTAGCTCTAACCCCATGCCTGATGTACTTGCTAGATATCGCAAAACCCTCTTGGCGGCCGACCAGTGCTGTGGTCGGTGTCTACCAGTGGCCACAAAGCAAGCCAGGATGCTGAAAGGGTATGCGAGATCTGGGCAAGTGCAAGTCATCAGGTACATGAGGCAACCCACCAGCTCTGCGTAGGGGCCGCTGGGCTCTACTGGCTCCTCAGGAACGGGAGCAGAGAGCCCATGGTCTACAGGCAGAGGAGTGGGCTGTGCGGAGGAGAACTGAAGACCGAACCTCTGAAGGACCTGACGCACCAAGTGTGACTGTGTCAGAGTGATGGTGCGTGCTGCTCTGTCCTTAGAGATCTGCAGGCCAAGATAACGGCGCAGCTCTCCAAGGTCAGTGCAGGTGTGTCTCTTCAGCAGCTCGGCCTTCACAGAGGCCAGTGCGTCCCTGTCAGCAATAGCGAAGACCAGGTCGTCTACGTAGACAACGATGTAGAACGGAGTCTGGCCGGAACGCACAAACAGCGAGGGGTCAGCAGAGGACGGAAAGAACTGCAGGTCTGCTAGCATGGCTTGGAGCGTGTCGTGCCACTTGCGGGGAGGCTGGCACAGGCTGTAGACCGGGCGCCTGAGAAGCCACTGGGTCACTGGAGGGAAGGTACCAGTGAAGCCCTGTGGTCGGCGCAGGTAGACGTGCTCGTGTAGGCTGCCCTGAGGAAAGGCAGTAGAGAAGTCGAGGGAGTGAAGCTCGTAGTCGCGCTGTGCTGCTACGTGTAGCAGTGCCCGAAGAGTGGTCATCTTTGGGGTCGGGGCGAAGGTCTGGAAGAAGTCAACCCCCTCGCGCTGGCTGAAGCCTCTGGCCACAGCGCGCCTTGAAAACAGGTGGCTCTCCAGGGGGGCGCTTCACCTTGAAGAGCCACCGACCATCGACTACGTTCACCCCAGACGGGGGAACTGCGTCGACGTAAGTGCCGGTGGACCTTCAAGATGCCATCTCCTGCTCCATGGCAGCTATCCACTGAGAAGCCCAAGGTCCCGAGGTGGCCTCAGCGTAAGTGCGAGGGGTCGGGATGTCGAAGGCGTCTGGGTCACCCTCTGGGACTAGGAGCATGGAGCAGAGATGGGGAGCGGCCTCGGTAAGGAAAGCATGCTCGTACTGCCGGTCCTCTAGAACGTCACTGCCAAGGGCAGGTGCACCCCCGACGGACGGAGGACGGGCAGGGTCAGAGACCAGAGCGGTAGCGTAGTCAAGGCGGCGGATAGAGGCGAAGTCAGCGACAGCCGCAACAAGAGCGTCAAGGCGCGAGACAGGAACAGAAGGGTCTGTGACAAGAGAGGCAAGAACCCGAGGGACAAGGGGACGAGCGGCACGGAGGTAGTCAGACAGCCGGGGAGGTGCAACAACAAGCGACGAGGGAGGAGGCGACGGGAGGAGGGGAGGACGAGACGAGTGGGAACGGAGCAACATAGGGTGGGGGCGCAGGACAGGAGAGACGGGACGAGCACGGGAGGGACGGCGAGACCAAACGTGGGACGGAGGTGTAGGGTCAGGAGACAGCGGAGGGGACTCAAAAGGGGAACGAGGAGGAAGAAGGGCCAGAGACGAGTCCGACGGTGGGAACACAGGGCCGGAACAGGAAGGTGAGAAGGTGGTGGGGGAGACACCGGCGAGCGGTCGGGGGAGGGAAGGCCGAGCAGGCGAAGAGCGGAGACCGGCGGCGACGGCTGCGGCGGCTGGTGCTCGACCCGCGGACCGGCAGGGGCACGACGGCTGCTGGGAGAACACTCAACAGCAGCACCCCCAGAACCAACACCCCCAGAGCGAGAACCCCCTCCAGCACCGGCAGCACCCCCAGGCCCGCCTGGACAGACCAGGCCAGGGGCCGCATGACGAACACCCTCCTCAACGCCAGCACCCCCAGAGGCCAAGAGCGACAGCGGCGGCGGCGGCGGCGGCTGCGACGGCGGCGGCGGCGGCAGCAGCGGCTGCGACAGCGGAGGCGGAGACACCGGGGAAAGGGGACGCGGCAAGGACGGGCTGGGGGGACCACCAGTGTCAGCAGACTCCTCAACAGGGACAACCGGCGGGATGGGAGTGACATGGGAGACACCAGACGGGGCAGGATGAGGCGGGAGGGGAGCAGGGGCTACCGGGAGAGAGGGAGCCAGGAATAAGGGGGGGGGAACCGGGAGACCTCGGTGAGGGAAGCGACGGTAGAAGGAGACAGACTCGTCAAAGGTGACGTCACAAGAGTGAAGGAAGCGGTGAGACTGCGGGTGGTAGAACAGCCAGTCAGACGAGTCCAGGGGGAAACCGAGGAAGACACAGGGGACAGTGCGGGTAGTGAGCTTGTCCATGCCAGAGGCACGAACGTGAGCAAGGCAACCCAAGACGTGGAACGCAGATGCGTCACCGGGGGACTCGGTCCAAAGGAGGGTCGGCGAAACCCGCGGCCGCTGGGAGCGTGGCCACAGATTCAGCTGGTGAGCAGCGTAGCGGACAGCGAACGGCCACAGAAAATGGGGGGCATCGGCATGAATCATGGAGGTACGAGCAACCTCCATGACCAAGCAGATGCGGCGCTCAGCAACCCCATTCTACTGTGGCGAGTTTGGCAAGGTGTACGACTGGGTGATGCCCTCCGCACGACAGAACTGTCCAAGCCGACCAAAGGCGAACTCGCCGCCACGGTCAGAGTGGAGACACAACACGGGGAGACCGCGGTGAAGACGCGCAGCCACAACCCACGGGAGAAGAACGTCGGGCACGTCGGCCTTCCGCTCTAGGGGAAACACCGTGGTGTAGCGTGTGTAGTCGTCGACGAGCACAAGAAAGTAGCGCGCACCGCGCGGTCCGCGGACGGGGGCTGGGTCCCAAACTTCAAGGTGCAGGGTCTGAAGGGGAGCAGTAGCAGGGCGAAGCGAGGAGGAGTGAGGCGCACGGCGGAGCCGGCCCTCAACGCAAGGTGTGCACGGTGGCGCAGTCGAGGGGGGAAGTGCGGGGAGCGACTAGGGGAGGCCTAAGACAAGACCGTGCTGAGACATGTGACGCAGGCGCGGGAGAGCAGGGTGACCTAAGCGGTGGTGCCACAGAAGGGACGGGTGTGTGAGGGACCAAAACGAGCAAGCTGCAGCGACCTGGGAGGACGCACCAACCGGGTGGGAGGCGGTGTCGAGGGTAAACAGACCGGACACCGGGTCCCGGGGGAACGTCGCAAGGGGGGAACCTGAGACTGCCTTGGTACAGACAGCGAACCGCTCGTGCCTAGGGAACGTAGTGGTGACGCCGAGGTCCTGAAGACGGACGACACCAACCAGGCTCCTGGAGAACGAGGGAACGTGGAGGCCTGTAAGGGAGCCCGAGGGAACTGCTGGACAGGGAAGGGAAGTGGAGCTGCGAGCGACGACAGGACCCGCGGAGGGGTCAGCGAGAGCAACAACAGCAGGCGCAGCAAGCGGCGTGAGCATGGAGCGGTCGCGGAAGAAGCAGGCAGAAGCACCAGAGTCGAGAGTGAAGGACAGCGAGGCAGTAGCGAAGGCCGAGAACGGAGCCGGTGCAGAAACTAGGCTAGGCAAACTAGGCAATCCTACACCTGACGCACCTGACGAAAGAGATCGTCGAGGCGGCGGAAACAGCGGGCGGTCGGGTGCGGGTGGCGGCACAGAGTGCCGCAGAGAGGGCCGGTCTGAAGCTGGTACTGACAGGTCACACCAACGGAGCTGCCGGTAGACGCCAAGCTGCGCGGGCCAACACCACGGCCACCACCTACGGAGGTGCCGGGCCAACCCAGGGTGAGGCGAGCCCACGGCTGGGGCTGGGATAGCTGCTGCGACGACTGCGATTGCTGCTGCGACGACTGCGATTGCTGCGACGGCTGCTCCTGCTGCTGGGGCGACGGCTGCTGCTCCTGACTAGCTGAGGTAGTCCCCTCAGTAGAACCACTGTCCCCGGTACCACCACTACTACAACCAGCTCCACCACCATGCCCTCCCTGGCGGCCACGACCGGCGCGGCGCGAGCGCTGCTGCGGGTGTACCGCAGCTGC